AAAATTTATAACAGTTGTTTGTTATAATAAAATGACTTTGCTTAAATTGATTGCTGGAGTTATGCAAACTTTAAATTGTTTTAATTAGTATAAATTATCCAAGTTTTATTGTTTCAACTGAAACAACTTTTAACTGTTAAAAGCAGAATTGAAGATTTTCATTATTCTATTATCTCATAAATAATTATTATTATTATAGTATTTAAAGTTTATTTTTGTTTCAGCTGTACAAAGAATACTCCTTACTGTTAAACTAACTTGTTAACAGTCCAAGATTTTTTCCCTAATTATTAGTTTATTGATAGTCAGAGAGTGTCTTTGTAGTTAATACAGGCTGTTCCCTTTTTTGAATAAATAAATAAATTCATATTAAACAAAGAGCCGTAATGAATAAGGAGTTATTTAAAATTTATTTGGTCAATTGTTCACGAAAAAACAATTAGTCTGGTAGATTGTTGTCAATGGCTTTGGCTGTCTAGTTACTGCCTTCTTTTTTGATATGTTAAACCAGTCCTCTTATGTTTACACCTGTTATAATTTGGAAATAAGCCAAAATGAAAATAGTTTTTGTTAAAGTAAACTTGTCAATTAGAAACAAAAGCTTGATTATAAGGAACACAACACTGTTTAAATATTTAAAAGGCTAGATTGACTTATCAAAGTGCTTTTTGATTATTTTAAAAAAAAAAGTTGGGAAAATGTATCTTCTGACTTTTGTTTTCATATTATACTTAATAAATTTGAATGCTGATTAATCTATCAGTCACTGAACTATTCAAATTGGTTTGCATAATTTCTTTACAATGATCAATTTAAATCATTATTAAACCTAATTAACTGAGTGAAAGTAAACAATATAAAAGAAAATATACATCATAAAACTACAAATGGAAACAAAAGAACATTGTCTACAATTTTAGCTTCAATATCAGTATTCATTTTATACATGCAATTGTATACAAATAGCAATATCTTTCCTTGAAAATCTATATCATAACCTTATGCATAATTATTAAATGACTGCAACACAATGTTTTGACACCATCTCTTGGAAACATTCCAGTACAACAATATAATAACCTTTTCTTTTCATATCCTTTAACCCAAGGTTACTTGGTTCATTTTCAGAGTATTATTAGAGTAAAGTAAAATATTCTGTTGATAAATTGGTCAATAATAATAGGATAACAATCAAGAACGTCTAGTAATTAACATTACAAAACTATATCCGTGTCTTACTGAATTCTTGTCATGTACAAATGGTTGCATACTCTAACAATCTACTATTAAGTATTATATATTTAAATAATTATATCTAATTTTAATATCTGGAAAAATTTTAAATTGAAGACTATAAAAATAAAATTGTATCCAGTTTCCTCAGTCATAACTTAAAATGAAAGTTAGACTTCCTGTTATTGTTAAAGATTAATGTAATAAATAATAAATGATCTATAAATAATGATTATGGAACTTTGTTTTGTTTAATATGATATATAATTTATCTAGTAGGGTTGCCATACATCTTTATCTTTTTGGGACTTTTAACAATTTGGAACTGTTTGTCCTGATTAAAAAATTTTTTGTTCATTCTTATAGAAAATACTATGATTTTGTAATTAAGAATTATACATGATAGATGCCATGCATGCATATGACAACTGTCCTTACAATCTCACATGCAATCACCTACACTAATCTTTGGCTCCTTCATCATGTTCTATGGCCATGTAGTGCTGTACAATGTCTTAGAAACTGTCAATGGTTACATCTGGTCATAGTATAGCTTTTCTCTCCTTCTTTACCTGCCTATAGGCACTAAGAGGATTTTTATTTTATATTTAATCATATCCATCACAGATTCAGCCATGTTTTCTAACAAAACTTAGTTGATTTGTGTAACATAATAACTATAACAAATAAAAAATGTTCAATAATTGATAATTCAATAAAATTAATTTAACTAGTATTATACACTTACTTTCTGAAATAGCTACTACCTACGCACCTCCCTCCCTACATAATGCACAATTATCACAATACCTCATAATATTTTGGTTTTGAACTTATGGCAATCCTACATCTAGATTTTTTATTAGTTGAATGTATTTAAAATATAGAGGAAAGAAAATGTGAATTTGTGCCATTTTCTGATAGAAAATTTTCTTCAAATCTGCATTTTATTACTTTCAAACTTCGGCAATGCATATACAACTAATATTGAAGAAAATATTGCTGAAAAAATGCATAGTAGTTGTGTGGTTATAATAATTATTAAAAAAAAAAGCATAATATTTATGCAGTTGTGTAAATAATGATGTAAGGAAAACACACTTAAATAAAATTGCTACCAAAGTCCTGGGATTGCAAATTAGGACTTCTTGGGCCACATGCAGTCCCTGAATTATGGATTACTTGTGACGTGTGTATATATATTTATTTAATTATATATTTAAATACAGATGAATATTGCACCACCCTATGTTATATATTATCATTTAGGACTCTGGAAATTATCCATTTCTGTGCAAGAGAAAGTTGGTTTATGACATGATATTTTAGACTTCTTCTGTAAATCCAAATATGATGATTAAATGATGCTTAAAGATGATTGAACCTTTCTTCTTTTTTTCTGTTCGAATAAAGCATTATTGTGATGATTGTAGGAGAAGATAAAATTCTTACTTTTCTCTCTCATTTTTATTTTGTAGTTGGAAATATTTAGATTATCCAAATTAGAAACATTAATAGGTTCTGAAAAGCAAGATACAAATATATTTGCCGAAATTAAAATATTTAGTCTTGATGAGACTATATTTTATTTAGAGTAAACGAATATTTGAACAACCAAAGAGTATTCAAACATCCAAATGCCTAGATCTGGTATTTTTTGGCCTACCAAGGCCCTTGTACCTACACCCCAAACCCAACCAAACCAACAAATATTAAATAAATGCTGTAATTCTTGTAAAGTGTATTACAAATTGTAAGAATAAATGAGAGAGTTATTTTTTTTTATTTTCATGTTTAATTCTATAAAAATGTTTTGGACCTAAGATGATATTAATTCTGTGACAGCTATATTGTCAAAATGATAATAAATGATCATTTGTTTCAGCTAATGATAAGTTGAGTTGAAAAACTACTGATTATATTGTCATTTTGTTCACATGTTATTACAGTTTAATATACTAAAGATTATTTAAGATACGACCGACTTGAGTCAAATGAAAAGGGACCATATTTACATCATCAATTCCAGAAATTTAGAAATGGTAGCATGCTTTGCCATAGTTTGAAGATGATAAATATGAATTTTATTGATTAAGTATGTAAATAATAATTTGAGAGATAATAATTTATTTATTCTTATTATATAAAATTTTTCAAAAAAAAAATTACTATTAAGATGTTCATCTAATAAACTATCAAACAAAGCAATTATTACTTTGCTCTCCAAAGATTTAAAGCTCAGTTCTTAAAATATTTACTCGTTAACTTGTAAATAAAATTAATTTTAATATGAATATATTAGTCGTAAAATTTCTAATAATAAAACCGCAGTTAGGTAAAATTATCATATTACATTAAAAAATTTTAAAAAATTAAACTGATGGTGTATTTAAATTCTTTTTTAAAAATGTTTTAATGCTGAAATGATAGTATTGTTACTTAAATAGTCTAGTAAAATTGATGCTTTACATAATGCTGTAATTATCAAAATTGAAATAATAATAATAATGTATAAAGCAAAATAAACTACAATACGATTTCATCAGAATCAAATGAAATAATAATTCTAAAAAATAGTTTGGAGTGTTTATTAATGTATAGAATAGTTAATTTTGTAAAGATTATATCTCAAAATATTATATATAAATGTTAATTCTTTACTAAGGAGTTGAATTATGTATTGTGTAAATACAAAGTTATCAAATGTGATAGCAAAACACTCAAGTAATTTCACAGTGCTGCAAGTTGGTAGTGCAGTCTGATTTGCAGCATTGCCAAACTCCTCAAGCTTGCAAGTTCTTTTACTCAGATTACCTGTGCATGTATTCAGATCAAACACACAAAGATAATCCTAGTGTAAGAACTTTCAAACATTTATGAACATTTTAATCATCCTCAAAAAAAATTTTTTTTTAATGATTTGGAATTGAATATAAAGCTATTAATGTAAATTTGTATACATTTTTAAAAAAGATATCTTAAATTATATATATAAGACTTATTACTAGAAGAACTTAATATATTATTAAATTCCTATCATAAAAAACTAATTTTATGAAATGTGTTTATTATATGATGAGATATTCCAGTGAGATGAAAAACACCAAAGGATTGCAACAGTAAAGAACTACTGGAGTTCTAGTTAAACTTCTGTTTGAAGAATTTGATATTAATTTCAAAAACTCAAACTGAACAATAACTAAGGACATTTCAGTAACCTTATATCTTATATAGCAGGGCAATAACAAATCAGTTCAGATGTTTTCAGCCTACACTGATGGCCTTCCTTTGAAACGACAGAGTTCTGCTCCATTGTTCCCGAGGAAGGCCTACGACATAGGTCAAAAATGTTACTGAAATGTTCATAGTTGTTGAAATTGACATCAAATTAATAGTACAATTATAACATTTACTATTTTATTATTTTGTAATTGTTATGTAATGCATTTTACACAGAACTAAGCATAGATGTTTGTAAAAATCTGGCATTAGGAATTGGGAAGTAAGTACTAAAACATAACATGGCTAATGTTATGTTTTAGTACTTAAAAAGATGTTATATACAAATGTCCTATGCAGTAAAAAATTTTTATTTGATGTATATAATTATGAGGTATGTATATATACATATGTTTTTTCCCTTATGTCCAAAAAATATTTTTTATTCATGATTTAAAATTTAGAATATCAAATTAATCTAAATTTTATAATGTATGTTCTCAAAATGATTTTTAAATATTTAAACATAAAATATTTTCAATTTACAGTAAGACTAATACGAAAGCAAAGCAGTTGTCCATAGGCAAAAAGAAATTTAACATGGATCCAAAAAAAGTATGGAAATGTTAATTTTATTCTCAATAAAATTTAAATTATTGAATGCTTTATAAATTTAATTAAACAGAAAATATGCAATTAGTAAACTTGGAATGAAGTTAAGTTTTAATAAATAAATTTATAATAAAGTAACTAAGCTTTATATCTATATGATTACCGTTATCGTAGTTAACTTTTTCATTAAATGTACATAATACTTCAGTTATTATAATTTCATGTAATTGAACAGTATTGAACTTTAACTATTAATCTGACAAATGACTGAATATTTTCTTTTCAACATCAACTGACAAAAGGTAAAAGTTTGGAATGTTACAAAAAATGTTTTTTTGTTCGTAATTTTGTGAAGTTTTAAAAAATTATGGCAAATAATTCCACATGGTTTCAAGATTATTGTCACATTCTTCATTCTTATCTTGGAAAAACAGTGATTTAAAATAAATTGTAATTTTGTCATTTAATATTAGATTTATAAATTCCAAACATTTAAATTTATTTACCTAATAATTCTTTTGCTATTAATACAAACTTTGCTCTTATTGTTTTTGATGATTTTAAAAGTTTTGCCATTCATAACTTTATCATGTTATCAGCATTTGACGGTGTAATGGGTAAGTCCTTTTGACTACATAGGGTCCGTTTCAATGCTTTCTATACATAGCGTGACTATATTGTAAAAATCAATGAAGTTTGGTGAAGCAATCTGCATAAAATGATGGGTTAAATAGCAGAGAGTTCTTTCATTTTCTAATTGAAATCAATGTTAATAAACAATTACTGATCTTCTTTTAGCATCCCTCACACTATATAATAAGTTATTGCTGAGTTCTGGACTATTTTCTAAAATTCTGATTGAATAATAGTGAATGTAGACGTGGAAAACTTGTTCAGATTTGTATAGTATATAACTGTTTTGTAAATATATTTTACATGTCAACTAAGATTGGCACCAGCACTATGAAGTCAGTTGTTTGGCAATAATCTTGGAATTACTGCTTAATATAGTTGAAAATATAACTTTATTGAAAAGTCAAAAAGTATAGATTTTATAATTGGCATGATATTCACTGTATTAGAAAATGATTTATCTCATAGTTGCTTTTAGTTACTTTCTCTGTCCTCTCTCTAGTTCTACCTCTAGTTAATCATAATAATTATTGTTTTTAATAATTTTTTTTGTGTTTTTCTGTAATAATTTAGTTAATACTTATGATTACTTTAGGGAATAGAGTACTTGATAGAACATGGTTTATTAAAAAACACAGCAGATGATGTGGCACAGTTTCTATATAAAGGAGAAGGATTGAATAAAACTGCAATTGGTGATTATCTAGGGGAAAGGTACTTATAAGTATTTTTAATATATGTACAAAAATGTTTACATAAATACTATATAATTAATATTGCACAACATTATTTTCATTTCAGAAATGAATTCAACATCAAAGTTCTCGACGCATTTGTCGAACTTCACGATTTTACCGACTTAATATTGGTCCAAGCTCTCAGGTACAGTACCTAGTAGTAATGAAAAGAAAGTTTAAAGGTTTAATGCTAAAATAATTTTTTTTAATGAAATTGTTAGTATTGTATGTTTAATTTTGGTTAAATTTATCATATTCTTTAATAATGTTCCTTTGTCAAAATATTTGATATTTGTGTTAATGATTAAGTAAAATGTTAAATTTATCACTAATGAATTTTTTTATTAATAGTATAAGTTGATTTTTAAAAGGAATGTTTTATTAAAATCTCAATTACTTTAGCCAATTTGAAATGATAAGTTAGCAAAATAAAAATCCCAAGTTAAAATGAAAAAGTAAAACAAAAATTATGATTTTTTTTTTTTCTGAAAGTTTTAGTAAATATTCCAATTTTTTTCTAATCAAATTACACAAATCATTGTTCTTAAATGTAACAATAATGTAACCTTAGTTTCATGTATTAAAGATTGTAGAATGGATAAAATATTTCAAATATTTATTTTCACTTGTGATTGACACTATTCTAATGCAAATTGTCAGTTTATTATTCTTTGCATCTGTCTTAATTTCATTCAGTTAATTTATTCCTAAATTCTATTCAATATTATGTTCTGATCCCTTATTTTCATTCTATTATATATAGACATATTTTTAAAATTTGTTGTTGCTGTAAAAAATTAAATAAATTTTTTATTTACCACTTTTGAAATCATTGCTATATGAGTATATTTAAATAACAAATATTAGGAAATGTGTTTGTTTCAAATTAGTTAAATTCTTAATCGTGGTATTATCACGATATCACGTATTTATTATCACGTATCTTACATTATAAGATGTGACTTTTTTCCCAGAAAAGATTATCCTGTATTTGATATGATAACCAAACTGGAGTAAGCTTACATGTTGTAGTCATCAATATATGGTAAATCCAAACACGTAATTTTAAACATGGTGGTTTTCAGATCAACCAGAACAACAAATAATAATAATTTACTACATCAGGAAACAAGGGAAAATAATTCTTATACATAAAACTGTCTACTGTAGATCTGAAGCAAATGTGTGCATATTATGTCATTTGCTTCCTGATATTAAACAATTAGTCTAAGTATATATGATGTTTGTTTCTCTAATTGTTGCTGTAAACAAACTAATTAATTTAAGTTTGGCCAAAATTAAATGAGAGTAACTGTGATAATGGCAATATGATATAGTTGTTGATTAGCTGTGATGCAAATTCAGATAAACCTTAATGTGGAATTGAATGTGGAAAAAAAATTATTTTTTTATTTTTCACTGATGTAATGTAACAGGCTTTTTTAAAATTTTTATTTTGGTCAGAGCCAATCTTGATGATGATTCTTTCTTGATTCTGAATTGTAATTGTGTTCCTTTGTTTTAGTTCTGCAAAAATTTCTATATCTTTGGGATTTCAAAATCTAAGTTATGGATGTGTTTTGATATGCCAGTGCATCTTAATGGAAAATACAAGTTTTTTAAAACCATTTTTGCATTAAACATATGTAATTTTAATTGACTTAATATAATAAATATTCTAGGCAATTCTTGTGGAGTTTTAGGCTACCTGGTGAAGCACAGAAGATTGATCGTATGATGGAAAAATTCGCACAGCGATATTGTCAACTTAATCCCGGTGTGTTTAGTAACACAGGTAAAAAAAATTTATTTTTATTCTGTATAATGATTTTACTAATGGACCAATTATCCAACCTACAGAAATTTGGTGGGCTGTAGCATTACTGTAATTTGCTGCACAACCATTTTGTTTTGGTTTTTGTGGTGTACTCATTACATCATATCAGTCCCATTATGTTCTTTACTTTTCTTTGTTTAATTTTTATCCTAAATATTACTCTCTATCCTATATTTTAAGGATTGATAATGATCAAACAGATTTATAAGTATACTAATTTGTATCTGTTAAATACAGTTTTTTTTCTTAACTTTGTTTATTTTATATTTTAAGTAAATACTTATCCTGTGTGCAGAAAACCAGGAAAATTCCAAAACCTGGATCATAAGTCGTATGTTAGATAAACATTTTATATTATTGAATTTAAAAACATACATCAATAACTTTGTTATGTATCTAAAATAAATTGCAACAAAATTTTAAAAATTTTGACACTAAAAATAACTTTTTTTAAATATTGCAAGTTGAAATTTCATTGCAAAATGTACTGTTCTGGATGTATTAAAGCAAAAGGACTTTTTGTTTATATCTTTTAGATTGTTCTAATTTTTTTTAGAGCAACAACAATTTGTACACCTTTCCTAAAAGATTAAAGAATTTTTGGTTTAAGGAAGAAGAAAAGATACTTTTTCTACAAAATTTTTTTCTGAGTCATATGCAATACAATAATCCAACAATTGTCTAAATATTCGGGCTATAATATGGCTATAATCAAATAATTAATACAGATAAATTTGGTATTAGAGGTAAGTGTTAGGTGCAATCTCTTAATTAGGTTAAATCAAAATTTAAATACTTCTGGAAGTGAAGACTGGCTTGGGATCCAGGTGGCGCAATTAGTAGCACACTGCATGGCACACGGAGACTGCTGGTTCATGCCCCGGATCAGTTATTTTCTTCCAGAAGGTTCTAAATTATTTACTAAATTATTAAAATTATAATTATTAATTTAGATAAGAGATGACCGCCTAACACTTACCTCTAGTACCAAATTTATTTGTATTAATTATTTGATTATAGCCATATCATAGTCCGAATATTTAGGCAATCGTTGGATTATTGTATTAACTCATCAGGCTTTGAGATGTGTATATTATATTCACATACAATACAATAAGAATGATGATAATATATTGTGGTTTGCTAATTAAAAATTGCTCCTTGTCTTTTAATTCATCTTTCATGTTTTTGTTGTATAAGAGTTGTTATATAAGAGAAAAACTGAATTAAGTTTCAAAATTTCATGTTAGTACAAAGTATTGAACTTCATTTATGATGAGTTGACATGGAATAAATGCATTTTATATGTGAAATATTATAAAATACTTAGGAAGAATTTTTCAAATTTAGCAGTTTAAAAAATGTGTTTTAGGTTAATAATCAATACTTCATTTTAATAACAGATATGTACAGGTAGCCTGTGGTTTACGCCACAGTTCTTACAAAAGCCAGCGCAAATCGAATCGGCATAAAATGAACCCATATTTACAGTGAGGTATAGGGTTAGGTTCTACATAAGTGAAAAATAAGCAAATAATTTTGTTTATTAATACAATATAATACAAAATACATGTAAATTTAATTTTTAAAATGTATTTTATCATAAAATAAAGTGAAATGTTTTTATTAAAAAATTTTAGTTTTGGATCTCTTACATTTTTCGGAAAAAAGTATCCATCTTTAATTGTTTACATTTTTGTTTTCTTTCATTGAGAATTTCATGAATATGGTCGAATGGATGTGATGATGCTCCCAATCATTGTCTAACTCACGAAGTTCATCTGTCAAACTTTCCATAGTTGAAAGGATACGCTTTAGATAGGCCATTTTCATAACTCTTGGAGTTTCTTCTTCGTCATTCTTCTGTAGCTCTATGTCGGGTCTGCAGCTCATTCAAATCTAACAGTTCATGGAATGTTCTCTATTGGTCTAGATCTGACCAATCCCAACGAGCCACAATTCTGCCATGACACGTGTTGTTGTAGTGGACTTGTGTCTCGCTAGGATTGGTCAAATCTAGACAAAAACTACTCAAATCTAACATAGGGAAAATCTGGGATAATTAAACAGTGAAACGGCAAATTGCTCAGCGGCATAAATTAAACTGGCATAAACCGAGGGCTACCTGTATATAGGTAGTCCTATACTTTTGGCAACTCACTCTTTTTACATAATGCTTTTATCCCCTAAATCAGTTTTTGTATTTTCAGTTGACAATAAAATTGGTGCTTTTTGCCATCTTTGGTTTTGTTAATAAAATTAATTTTCATAAATAATTTCCTATTGTCTGTTTAATGATTTATGTAATGAATATAGTCACTGTATAAAACTCTTTTTACCTTAAGATTTTATAACTTCTTTTTAGCTTTCTAGGAATGGAATTCTTTCACATGCAGTTCTTTGTTTAATTTTTAGGAATTCATTACATTTCAAAGGGGACTGCCTATGTAATAAGATAAAGTTAGATACAAAAATAAATAAGTAAAAGCTTACCTTAGCTTCTAAAATTGATCATTTTTATAGTTTGAAATTATACAATTCCAATTGCACATGTTAATTTTCATTCTTATGTACTCAGTTGAAAGTTTATTTTTGTCATCTAAAAATATGTATCCAATTGCAGACACTTGTTATGTGCTTTCGTTTGCCATCATTATGCTTAACACATCGTTGCATAATCCAAGCGTAAAAGAGAAACCTTCCGAAGAACAGTTTATAAGCATGAATCGTGGAATTAACAATGGTGGCGATCTTCCGAGAGAGCTTTTAATGGTATAAAATTGCTAAATTATTAGACTAAATTTTTTTAATATATAAATTATCCTAGATTGTAATTAACTTTTGTTAAGGTAAAATTTTTATCAATTACTTTAACGTGTTTAGAGTTTGTACGAAAGTATAAAACAGGAGCCATTCAAGATTCCCGAAGATGATGGAAATGATTTGATGCACACATTCTTTAATCCCGATCGGGAAGGTTGGTTATGGAAACAAGGTAATCTCTTAATTTGAAATTTATATATAATTTATAATTCTAATTATTTACTTTCAATAAGACAAAGTTTAGTATTTTGATAACAAACATAACCAATTTAAGTACTATTTAATTTTTAAATAAAAGATTTACAATCAATTTTCTAAAAAGATAGAACAGTTTTTATAAGGCAAATTATGAGATGAAATTAAACTAAAGCCACTTTTGATGAAGAAATAACAACAAAATTAAGACATTTATATATAATGGTCAGTGGTGTAAAATGTAATATGATACTATCTTTGATCAAACATCATTCACATGCTTTTCCAAACATATTAAACATTACTGTCTTTCACTAAATGTTCTTTTTTAAGCATGTGCAATACACACTTGGTCATTGCTATGAATGTTAGTCAATTATTGATTGTTGAATATCAATATGGCAAATTAGTTTTTGTAGTTCATTTTTTTCTAGAGCTTCACATACATATCATCAAGAACATTCAATTAAATATATTGTTTATGCCTATTTTTTTATTTTTTTGGGAGGACCTCCTGTCTTCCAACATGAAATGAATGAATGTAAGCATAAATGAGTATAATCTAAACTTGTAGGGTCTGTAGTACTTTTTTACCTCCTGGATGAGATGGTATAGGTTTGGTGATATTCTATCATATTAGGTTATAGGCCTTCCAATTTGGCAGTCTTCAAAACTGACTAAATCACTTTTCACACAATTGTAGAAGAAAATGCATGGAATATAAAAGGGGTACCAATAAACAGCGAATTATTTTTACCTATGTGTAGTATTAGTAGTTATAACACGTCCTTTTTTATACTGTATTTTTGCAGAATGATCAACATGCCAATTAAATTGCGACTAAAATATAAAATTAGTCAGGTCTAAAAAACTAGTTGTTAATTAAACATTAAAGAAAACATTCTTCGGAGTACAATAAAATAATAACATTGTAATTTGATTGACTTAAAATGAGGAAGTGAGATTTTCATTTACAAGACAAAACAATTGACGACTTATTGACAGTAGTAGTAGGTCAGTGTGGGCTACATTGACCATCTACGTCCACCCTAAAAATAACATCATCATAAATTTCATACAAATGTTAACAGGTGTAAGCTGAGATAATTTACAGCATGTTTCTTAAATTTAATATGTGCATTTTTGCCTTTTTGAATTAAGTAACAATAAAATACACATTTAAAAAAAAAAGAACCACTTTTGGAATTCCAAGAGTATTTTGTTGTTAGAAAAAAGACAAAATGAAGAAATTAAAATTATATTCATACTTTTTGATGTAATGCTGATAGTTTCACAGTTTTAGAATAAAAAATTGTTCATTTTTATGTGATGTAACTCATTTATTATTATTTTTTTAATGTGCCCTCTAGAGAGGGATGTATAACCTCACTCAAACCGGCATGCCAGCTTTTACCATACAGAAATATCTGATTTTGCCATCTCCCCAGATAGACTGGCATGCTGATCATTCTGCAAAAATACAGTAATAGATTGAAAAGCTGCTCTTTTAAAGTAAAATTATCAGAAAATATTTGCATTTTCTAATGTTTGTGTTATTATATATATATAAACCATAAAGCTATTTTTAATTAATTAACATTAACTATTTATTCTTGAATGTTAATTATATGTACAGAAATAAGAGAAAATTTATTATTGTATGTATTGGCACATCTTTAATGCACTTGTAAATCAAATTAGCTGAAGATAAGTGATTTTGATTTAAATCATAATTTATCTTAATTCAGATACAGCCAAAACAAATTCATATATGATATGAAATATGAAACTTAAAAGAAATTTTTTAAAGAAAGTGTTGTGCTTTATTATTACTATTTCACTAAATAGTTGAAAATAACAAGTTGGAAGGACTATACATTACATTTAGTGCAGTGACTGCTTAATGATGAACTGTCATGGCAATTAGCAGAGATATTGTTTTAATGCATATAATCCAACTAGAAATGTTTATTCACATCATTGCCCAGTACAATGTGCAAATGTCATGAATGACCAGCTTTTCGTATGATTTTTTTATCCTCACGTCATTGACCATAATGTATATATCCAGCAAGTCCTCACTTAGTTTCCAGGAACATATCGGTAATGTTCTTGGAATCTAAGACATTGATTTTGTTACATGTAATTCTGCTTAATTTTACGATAGGTTAAATGAGATAAACAAGAATTAAGTTTCCTATTGGATTGTGTTTGCTACTTCTAGCATTTATTTTTCATTTTATGAAATAAAATCTTTATAAACAACAAATGAAATAAAATTTCATTTGTTGTTTATAAAGAAAATTTGACAAGAATAATTTTAAGTGTTTATGAATGTATTTGTATCTTTCTTCAGTGACGTTAAATGAGAACTTGTTATATATATAAATTATATAATGAACAAATTAAAACATAGTTGTAGTTATGTATGTGAGTGTGTTTATATGTTAATAGGAATTAACAAAAATGATATAAAATAGTAGCTTTTCCTATGGCTTTTTAACTTCAGTTTTTAATACACAGTCTGCTTTGGAAATCAACACAGTTTAGATTTAAAATAAAAATATGAATTTTCACTAAAACACACATCAAAATTGCTGCAATTATCATTTTGGGTTGTTTTTTCCTGAAATGATGTCTAAACTGACTTAAAAATTTTATCACTTTGAAATCATACAGTAGTATAGCTATAATAGTAGTAATTATAATTAATAATATTGAATATTAATTTTATATTTCTATTTAATTCAATATTTTTCCTATTTTTTTGTGGTTACTTTGACTAAGCTTATAATAATAATTCCATTACCTTGTATACACCATTATTGATTGTGAATACAATGTGCCAATTACATAATAAGACTGGACTTTCATATTTGTGCTATGTGTAGAAATAAGAACACGAATGCAATATGGAGTCACAGGTTAATTATCAAATTTTACTTAGAATTAGGAGAAAATCCCATGCAAATTTATTGATTTTAAAATTGTATTTGGCAATGAATGTTTTGAGTAGGACATGGTTTGTCAATGATTTGCTCATTGTCAGTAAGGTCAGATCATTCAGTTATTGTGAGGTCAAGTTAGAGAATTTGTCCTCCAAGAGGCAACAGTTAATGCTACATATTATTTAAACATCTGAAGAAGTTATGAGAACAAATGTGGGAAGTGAGAAACAAATGATTTGTCAACAAGGATTGGTTTTTCTTGTACAATAACACACTACTTGTTAGATTTTGGCCTCTACACAAACCATGGTCATTCAGTGCCACCCTATTTTCCCAATTTGGCTCTTATAGTTTTCTGAAAATCAAATTTGCCTTGAAAGGCAAGCATCCAGGAGCCATTGATTGAGCAACTGAATAATTTTTCAGTTGAAGATTTTCAGCATGCCTTTGACAGTCTGTAAAATACTGACATTGATCCTAGAGACGATGGGAATTAATTTGAAAACAAGTACTTCTGTTACAACAAACAAGTTTATTTTTCAAAAAAAGTCTCATTAGTTAATTGGCACTGTGTATATTCTTATTATTATATCATTGCTTATATATCTTTTTATATATCTTAAAATTTATTGTTATGTATTTATCATTATTACAAAAAAAAATATTAAAAAGTAAAATAATAGAAAAAAACTATATATAGGATTAAGAAAACAATAATTTGTGAATATATTAAAAATTAAGGTAGTATAATTAAATTTATATTATGTTAACATGGTATTGCAAATTAAAATGTTTGACATATAATAATTAAAAATTGTCATTTGATTTTAAGAATATTGTTGGTAAATGTTATTCTTTATTAAATAAATTTTGTAATGTAAAGACAAATAAGTAGTACTAAAGATACACTGGCATTCTATTTCCTAATTATTTCACTATTTTCATTTACTGCAGTATGGTCTTTTTACATCTAACAATTATTTCTTTCTTTCAAAATATGTGACAGGATATATTAGTGACATATATCTGAATTCTTTAATAGTAGCACTGTATGTATGTGTGGTGACTTCAGAAATCTCAATCTGTGCCACTAATTAATGTCACAAAGAATTGTCATAAACTAAAACAAGACTGACAAAACATTACAGAATATAAAATTACATTCAAACCATGAACTACGACAATGAAGAGTTATTAATAAACATCTGGTTTGCAGATGTCATGCATGTCAGTCTGATCATATCAATAAAGAAACCTACATATTCATTGGATTTCTTATACTGATGAGATATGTAAGGAACCCAGTTATGTTTGGAACAAGTGGTAGGTTGATTACAATTCCCACTTGGTTAAAAATAATGTAGGATGCAGCCAATCAAATGAAATATCAAGAACAAATTACTATGTTAAATGTTTTATATTAATCTAAAGTTAAAGAAATTTACTTTAAAAAAAAATTAGTTTAAGGACAGGAATAACAATGCTCCACTGAAAATATTTTTAACCCAACAGTATACCAAGGAAAATAATTTTCCCTATCTTATTAAATTAGGTAAGATGATGTACAACAAATAAGAACATCTTTTATTTAAAATATAATCCATGAGCCAACAAATATCATAATTTGGTTTTTTGGAGACTTAGAACAACTGTTCTGTCAGAATTTACTTTCAGTGGGAAAGAGGTAGTGTTGAATGTATTATTGATTAGTACAATAGATAAAATCTTTTGTTTGTTGTACTCCAGCAGATGGGGAAATATTTTACCGACTATTGTTAGTACTATTTGTTTGTTATAATATAAATATATTATTAGAAATAAGGTAATGTTGTTGTCACAATTTTAAAATATTGCAGAATCTTAAAAAATCTGTACAAAATAATGTTTGTTCTTACTTTTTGATTAATATGTATCCACTACCAAGTTTATTTTGCGGTATCGAAAAGTTCCAGTATGAAAATTTTGGATACCGGAAAATAATGTAAAATATATAATTTTATGTAAATAATAATATTTTGTTTATTCTAGATTATTTTTTTATTACAACCTATATATTTATATAGTAAATTTAACATAAATATTAAATATATGAATGAGAAAAATGTAGATAAGGTATTATTAGTGATTTTAAAATTTAATAGTTTATACTATTGTAATATCAAAGAATGACATACATAATTTTTGTAATTTATAAAATATAATCATTTTGTTAACTTTACAAGTAATTAACTGAATATATGAATATTTTATTCAATTATTAATTATTAATTTTTTAAAGATGATATAATTAATTGAGAAATGTTTTTAATATTTGGGCCATTTTTTTGCCCTGTTTTATGCATCACTGAAGGGAGCTCTAAAATCAGTAAGTGAAGATAGGAGCTCCTTTGTGTGCTGTCATGAAACATTCACGTCTTTATTACTGCCATTTAAGCTTAGCATCTCTCTGTGCTTTTGCTTCATATCACACCAATTCTGTGCTAGAGTTGCACTCTGTCGTGTGTTGTATATAATCGATACATTTATTCCTATTCACGCATGACTTGTATTTTGTGATTATTCAATTTATTCAGAGCACTGAAATGATATTTTTTGACATTTTAAAGTACCAATCTAGAATTAATGATCTATTTCACACATCACCAATTTTTTTTCCTCTTGAAGTTTTTAATTATATATAAATAGAAATTTCTATGTTTTTTACTTTGATAAGGAGTGCCAACATGTTTTTAAATGATGAATGTAATCACAGTTATGATAATGCACTCTTTATGTTAATGAATGCTTTGATTTCTAAGTTTTGCATATATATATATTTTTTTTAAATTTTATCAATAAATCAGATTTGTGAGCGTTGTTTATTGGATGTTGCTTTGTTTTGTCAAGAAATGCTGCTGGATGCTCATGTCTAAACAGTTAAAGTTTACAGCATGTTTTATTTAAAGTGGAGATGTAAATTTTATATCATTTTTATTTTTGTGCAAATTGTAATGTGCCTGTGAAATATGTATGACTTATCTAATGCTAAGGAACGAAATAAATTTTACTAATTGGCATCTTTTACGCATTTTAGGTGGACGATACAAAAGTTGGAAGAGAAGATGGTTCATTCTTAATGATAACTGCCTGTACTATTTTGAATATACTACAGTAAGTATTACTGTTGGTATTTTCTTATCTAATTGCAAACTAAACAGAGAATATGTAACGTGAAAAGTTTTGATGAATTTCAGAATAGCTATAAGTTAATTTATAGCTGTTAGCAGCAATTGCCCTTAAATGAAATTGCAGGTAACATTTATAATTAATGCCAGGTGTTTGAATATTCTAATTTTGTACGAACAATTTATTGAAAATGTACATGGAATATTAAAATCATTATTATCCAATTAGTTGATATGCAGCATTGTATGCATAAGATAAGATGTATAATTTCTGAAGTACACACTAAGAATTTTTAAACATATTATATTAGTAATACAAATATTTTGATTATCAATATTAGCAGCTTTTGAAATTATTTTTAATGAAACCTTTTTGTGCTTTGAGTTTAAATTGCATATCTAAAGTCAAGTGCTTGCAAAACTTTGTTACTTACACTTTTTAATATAACAGTCTACAGGATTATAAAATAAAAAATATGCTATATAGAAAATGCATGATTATGTATCATGCAAGTTTTACTTCATTAATCCAAGCAACTATTTGAAATAGAACAAATTATTCATCAAAGATTAGAATTTGATACCATGGTGGGCTTTCCTGATCTTTTAATCTTGTTTAGCTTTAATGTTCTTGTATTTCAATTAAACTTATCTTTGGTCTGTTATAATTCTTTTTCAAGTTTCTCTAAGTTTGGACTGCTAATACACAAAATGAGAACTATTTTATATCAAATTTCCAATTGATTGGTTAAAATTTAGTATGTATTTTAATCTCTTTTAAAATCATATATTAAATATTCTTTTTTGCTTAATAATTATGATAAATGGTAAGTAATGTATCTTAATATCCAGGATTCCTAAATATTTGTTAATGTCTGTTTCTTTATTATACAAGAAAAACTTTTCCAAATTTTAAGTTGTCAGGAAACAGTCAGTTTGTTCTTATAGGTAACTTGCACTCTAATGTTTCATATAAGGTAAGTAATGCTATTTGGTTTTTCAACACACAATGCATGGTTAGTGGGTAATTGGCTTCACAGAAGGGTTGATGGAGTCTGTATTAGTAAAGTATTTAATTCTATGAATATTAGAATTGTACACTCATGATTTTAAACCTTATTGTTCAAGAATTGACATGTTGCATACACGAGTCTGATGTGAATTCTACTTTGTATAGATAAGAATATAAGTTCCAAAGTATAAAGAATTATATTTTCTATGTACATTTGTTATGATAAAATTATAGTTTGGCATTATGGTTATTAGTGTCATTTACTGAATATCATATTGCATTGTACGTTTAAATGCATTTGATTTGTTTTTTTATTATTAATAATGTGTGATTCTTTGTTAGGATAAGGAACCGCGTGGCATCATCCCTCTGGAAAACGTACAGGTGCGAGAAGTGCAGGATCGCAACAAACCAAATTGCTTCGAATTGTATTCTACGGGAAATGACGTGATCAAAGCCTGCAAGACCGATTCGGAAGGAAAGGTTGTCGAGGGAAAGCACACGGTCTATCGCATGTCGGCTGCCACCCCAGAAGAGAAAGAAGAATGGATTAAATGCATAAGGTATTCCAATAACATATTAATAACATACTTTTCAAATTATTTTTATTATATATATATATAAAATATGTCAGTAGTTGTATAATAGTTGTCAATAGGTGTTTCAATACATTATTATTAATACTGTATTGAATGTAAGCTTTCATTTTATAATCAAGTATGTCTTGTCTCTTTAATCCGACATTAAGTTCGGTAGACTATCATTATAGCTTTCAGGTTAGACACTTCTTTTATTGTTTCCACATATGCTTCTTTCCAATGTTACCCGTTGTACACTGTGGTTTTAAAAGACAGAACCATAGTATTGCACTGAAGAGGGACTTAACATTTATATAAGTCCGAAATGCATATGTGGAAACAATAAAAGAAGTGTCTAACCTGAAAGCTGTAATGATAGTCTACCGAACTTAATGTCAGATTAAAGAGACAAGACATACTTGAACATAAAAACAGCTATCCAAAAGTGATATTTCATTTTATAATATCATGAATATCTTTTTATTACATTATATTACTAAAAGTATTGAAAAACACCAATTGTAGTTCCAAAAAATTTAATTTCAAAATTCAGTTCTCTAGGCCTAATGACAATGGAAATATTAGTAGGAAATTTCTGAAAATATTTTCTACTAGGTTTTGGTAAGTCTCAGCCAAGTATACTTTCATTTCTCCTAAAAAGCTATTGCCAAAATAATGCAGACTAATTTGGAAGAAATTTATTTTGTTGAAGCTCAAGATTCAAAAGCTTAATCTGAGCTTCAGAAAAGTCATATGATTTGCATGTGGAATAGTACAAACTGATTTTGAAGTATAGAGGAGGAGGAACTTGCAGAATGTATGCAGGGTATCTGGGAAATCATGCCATCCTGTGTTTTTTTTTTTTTTTTTAAATAGAGACAAGAACGTGCCTTATACTTATTCAGAACATTGATCAATGTTCCATTGTGACCACGGCAGTCTGATAAAGACAAATTTTCCAAAATGTTTTGCAGAGATAAAATATAATGTGATAAAAAAAAAAAAACTACTCTCACTGTATTCTTCAACTCTTCTGTTGTCTACTACCACTGTAAATGAGCACTGTTGATCTTCACATATCTTGGCTAACTTGATGCAGTATCAGATTGCCATAATCACACTGGAACTGATACTGATGTTTTGACATATTATACATACATTTTTTTTTGTTCTTGTAATCTATAACCAGTTGCCAAACCCTATGTAATTCAATTAAAATAGCACTACGCCATTATGGAACCATATCAAATTGCTAATCTATTAATTTGACTTATCAAGTAGTACCATAATTTCTACTTACTCAGTGTAGGTGTACATAGAGTTAGACTGAAGACGAAGTACTTTTGATATAATTACATATCTATAAATATCAATTACAAGAGCCAGTCCTGTTAAGTTCTCACTTGTGACAAACTTATGGGTCATTTAATCAAAAATCACCCGTAAATATCTTGTATACATTTTATAAAAAGAAACCTGAGAAAATTTTGGAGGCATTGTTAAAATATTCTCATGCATCTTTAAATTAATTAAATATGCTGCCTGAATATATTTGTAACTATTGAAGACAAAGAATAACACAGTATTTGTATTTTTAAAAATATAAAAATACCAATCAAAGACATATAAAATGAATTTTTGCAGTCTTAAATGCCCTTTCATAGTTACGAAAACACTGTCATCACAGAGGCCATTACATGTACTGCCACTGACAGCTACCCACGGTCTTCCTCCATTTGGAGCATGTCACTCCCAACAGGATCTGACCTGTCGGTGTCTGAAGGCCCAACGGCAAACCCCTCACTTTTGCCTGCACTTTGGAGCAACGCCCCTACAGCCAGCACGATAGTCTAGGAATGCCATCACATACGACAGCCCAGCAGTATGTCAGTCCCGCTACCACGCTTCCCCAGCCAGCCCAGTCCTCGATTTGTCACCAATCTAACACGTCCAGGATCACCTGGGAAGGCACAGGAGTTCGGCCAAAGTAGAGGACCACTTATGGCAACTACGGAGCGAGATGCCTCTGTTCTCGCCAGTATCGCATCGCGTATTCACGCTAGAGGTGGCCAGACAGGGTACTAAACCTTCTTTCATATGTTCTTCTTCCTGCAATAAATGATTGTTTTGCTTTCATTTTGTAATCACCGTTACACTCGCAAGCGTACAATTTCGTTCTACTCCAAACAACTCGTGCATAAATACGATCGAGTTAATCGATAATACAAAGTACGTAAATTAAAACCTATAAAAATTTCCAAATCGTTTCTAGTAGTAAACGACATATTTATTATTTTTCAGGCAAAGTATCAGTCACAATCCATTCTACGACATGCTGGCAGCCAGGAAGAGAAAAGCGCAGCACGTGAAATGATAGAAGACAAGATTTTCGTTTACCCAGCGATTACGTCTCCATGTGATTACCACACGTTCTGTAAAGTGACCTTTCTTCCGGGACGTGACGAACCGTCGCGCGGAAGAATGCAAAAAGGAAAAAATATCAGAAACAGGGTATCACGTATCACCCAACTTTTCTTATTAGTAATGTCTAGCTAAAAAAAGTGTACAGTACGTGATTCGTAGCATCGACAAAAACACTAAATTGCACGTCTTTGTCATTTTTCGTCAGTCTTTATAAATCCGTACACACACTTGCACACGCAATGCGGAGCCCATTAATAATAACGACGATCAACGGAACTCCGGATCCAAAATTTAAAAAATTTGCCATCCGATGGTAAAAACTGTAAATGTTTTAATTTACCGGAAAGTCCCGTGCCAGTTTCTAAAGCTGATTTTCTTCCCTCTTGGCGTTCACTAGAACGTTCTCTTCTCCCAGCAGGATCGGCGAAACCAAAGACGATCTCACTCCCCCCCGTCGTCTGTAACACCTTTTTCCTCCCCTTCCAGGACAGGATCGTTGGTATGGACTTTTCCGCACAACCTTCTAATCCACAGAATATATATGTATATGTTAATATATTGTTTTAATTAACGAATTACGTGCGAATTAATTATCCTGCCATTCGTTTTTAGATTTCTCATCGCGTAAACTTTATATAGAGAATTATTATATTTCTAGGAGCTAACCGGGTCGATGGTTTTCGTTCGTATCTAGTCAGAAGAAATTCGTGAGACCGCTTTATATACATATGTTCTAGCTCCATAATCTTCTCCAAGAAAAACCAAAAAAGGTAAAAAAAATTTTATTTAGTTTTAAGAATATAGAGAAAAGAAGCTGCGGTAATTATATATATATATATATATAAATTGAATATATTATAAATATCCGGACGTCTGGAGAACCCGACTTTCCATTACCAAAAATCTAGAATTAGCGTTAGTCCAGCAGCATGATGGCCAAAAGATCCCACTCCATGCATACACACACACACACATATATATAAGTATATAAAGAATTCAGTTGAATAAATTGTCCATTAAATCTTTACGATATCAACAATATAATTCGATATTTTGAAGTAATTCGGATATATTTGCTATATAAGTGCTAAGAAGAAGAATTAAATTGTAGTAAAAAAAATATATATATATGTATAAAGTTATTCTATCATGATTTAAGTTTTTTAACGAAGGTTTGATTAAATGTTTAAATTTAAAATGTATTGTGTATTTCGTCGTGTTTTTCTCTAAGGAGTAACGGGAAAAATTACTGTAAACTGGCGACAAACGTAATTTAAGGATCTACGCGCGGTTTCATGATGATCGTTGCTTTGTTTACCGTTTCGCCATGAGAATATTCGGAAATATAATACAATGTGTTCGCGGAACGATTGCCAATATACGCATTTTTGTAACTGTTTTCACTGATTTTGCAAAAGAAAAATGAATCGTAAACACGATTCGATTTTACGAGGGTGATACTGAAAATTTTGCATAATATAAGGCCTAAAACAAAATATTTTTTTTACTAGCAGACGAGCCCGGCGTTACTCGGGCAAAGATTAAGATCACACCCAGTAGCCAATCCAAAACATTATATTCATCTACTGTACTGTACACAATTTAAAGAATTTTAAAAGTGTGTTAGATTAATTGTTCGGTGTGATAAGCCCTTACGTAAGATAACCTCGGAAGAGGGGGACCTAATTCTTGCACCCGGTGAAAACGGGTAAGATCGGCTATATAACTATAAAGAGTAATTCTGTAATTATTAGATGGGTCGGCCAAGCGGTCTTCGTTCCCTGAATACTGGGAGTTCGGTCGGGGGTTCGCGCCTCACTCGGACAGGCTGGCCACGTGGAGTTTTCCGGATTTTCTCCACGCCTGTAACGCCTAAATAGGGGCCAGTTTCCCTTAAAAAAGACCTCCCGAAAGGCATCCCCCTAAGCAAATCGCCCAAGTGTTGCGTTGCCATAACTTATCATCATTAAATGGGTCTAAAAAATTGTTCCATTTCCCGCAAAAAACCGCATCTAAAATAGTACAGTAAAAGCCGAGTTCTTCGGGTAATACTTAACTCTTTCCTCTCCCCCGAAGGAGGTATTTCCAAAAATCCCTTCGTAGTGCACCTTCTGATGTACTGTACCCTAACTGTGTACCAAATTTCAACTTCTAATTGTTTGGGCTCTGCAATTATTATCATCAACCCATTTCTATTATAAGATTTATGTTCATAGTACTCTCCACTGGCCAAAATGCGCTTTAGTCGCTCCTTCCAAAGATCAAAAGCATGACGCCACTCATTTTCTGGAATGCTATCAAAATACTCAGAGGATGAAATCGAAGCTTTCGTAACTGTTAAATTTGCGATCCGTCAAATGTTTTGAGATTAAAATGTAGCCAGAAGTTACATTGACCATCCAGCAAATTCACCAGATTTGGCAATGATTCTGATAGCTTGAAGGAAATCAACAGTCTGCGATGAAGCATTATCATGAAGCAAAATTAACCTCAGATTAACTTCAGTGACTCCAGAATTCTAGGAAGATAAACTGTAGTGTATCAATTAGCTGTTATTGTCTTTTATTCAAGCTTAATTGCTTTCACTAGACCAGTGCTATGGAACAAAACAACCACCTAAACATAAGGATGGAGCATCATCCTCAAAAGCTAATTGTAATCATTTACATAGTTACACTTAGGCAATTTACAAATTCGACTTACGTAAAGGTCTACGGTCCGCATTACTTTCGTAACTCGGGTTATTACTGTAACGCGTGCACGGTGGATTTAAATAACATAGGCATGCGTTAATTACGTTTCTGATATTACATAAACTTCTACAATAAGACTTATGGAGCTATAATATTGGAGTGGCAGCTCTGGTAACAAGTGAAGCCAGTATATGCGCGCACCGGACGGAAGTCGCCATCACAAGCGTGGAACGAACACAGTTAAGTTCGTTGCTTAACGTTGTAATTTGACAAAGCATTCCTGCTATTTATTTAATCAAGCTTTATTGATATAACGGGTGTTATTACAAAGGGGGTTAAATATCATTGTTACTTTATATAGATTTTTTTGTTCGTATATCAAATTTAATTTATATAATGTTAACATGGCGAAATTGCAACCGAATAAATTTGATAACAAAAATCAGATGGTAATGTAGCAACTCGGATATCTATCTATATAACTCATTGAACGCGTGTCCGTCCGCGTAACGGTATGCCAAAAACGGGCACTAGAGGCGCCCTAGCGATGATTTTAAATTAACAGTAAATTATTTTTATTTGTACTGTAATAGGAATTTATTATTTATACCACGGAATGGTATAAATAATTATTATATGCCTTGATTAACCTCGCGCCGCACGTTTACAACATTCCGTGACTCAAGTCAGTGAACGTTGCGCATTGACTCACGGGAAATTTATTGAAAAAATGGCGGATACATTTAAAATCGAGGTTTACAAGCGAAGGTAAATAAACAAATTAAACTATTTTAAAGTATTTATAGAATGTTTAATAGATAGAAATATAGATCGTATGACGCGATTGGGACTTTAACAGAGCTGTAGAGCATATTGATAGGTAGAAATATCGATTCGTATGACGCGATTGGGACTTTAACAGAGCTGTAGAGCATATTGATAGGAACAAAAAAGTCAAAGGAACCATGGCTCATGGAAATTTGTAAAGAACGCCCACTAGGGGGCGTCCCGGGCTACTAGTGCAAAACAAGGTCTGTATAAGAAGGTCAGGACCAAGGTCTTAGATTTATAAGGTTGCCTCATACAGCCGATTTAGCCACTTCCTGCCAGATTCCGGATATACGTCATCCGTAGTCGAGCCCAAGGTCTAGCGACTGCTTCACTACTGTAAGCGAGGGAAGGAAATTTTGGAATTTAACTATTTTTTTTTTAATTTGTCGAGCGTTTTTAGACTCATAATCTTCGAAGGTAAATATATCTATACTTATTGCTATTATTAAACATAATTATGTTGATAATTATATCGATAAAAATTGTTCGGAAGTAACAAAAGTGTTCCTAGAACAGTTTGATATTCTGTTGTAGTCTTTACTCTTCGTTCTGTAGAAATTACAGAATATGGTTACGGATAAAATATATTTATTAATAAAATACTTTAAAATACTAAGAATAGTTTTCTGCATGTATAAAAATAGTATCTGCTCAATGAAATGACGACTACAAATAATAAGCTGGCCGGTAACAGAATGGTAACACTTTTAAGATAACTTGAGATGTAAAAGAATATTGTTTATTATTAATTAATATAACTTTTTAAAATATGCATATTTACGCAAATACCTAAATTTTATTATTATTAGATGCCAGGAGCAACGTGTGCTGTTGCAAATTGTGATAACAGCTATTGTAAAACAAAGTCATTAGACAGGAAAGTCAGTTATTTTAGATTTCCTAAAGATCCAATAATAAG